CAATTCAGAAATGCATTGTAGTCACTGCAAATTTCCATTATGTATAGAGTTCCTACAAGTAAAATGAATTCTAGGAGTGGCAGTTCTTTGTAAATACAAAATAAATTTGCTTATGAGTTAGAGTATTGTTATTGGTTGAAGGATGAGTGCATGTTTAGTTACTTCATAGGGCTGGCAACAATTAAAATTATGGATCTGAGTATTCAACCTCCACAGTGTGTGATTATAAGTGCAAAAGTTGTGTAACTGTGATATTTGTATTAAAGACTTGGGCATTTCACTCCATTATTCTCCATGCAAATAATTTCAGCTTGTTTCTTTCTGCTTTTATTTCCCTTGCCTGAGGAGACATATCCAAAAATATATTGTTAAGACTGATGTCAGAGAGCTTACTGCCTATGTTTTCTTTTGGAAGTTTTATGGTTTTAGGTCTTACACTTAAGTCTTTAATCTGTGTTGATTATTTTTGTGCATGGTATGAGAGAGTAGTCCAGTTTGATTCTTTTGTATGTAGCTGTCCAGTTATTCCTAACACCATTTATTGAAGAGGCTGTTTTTCTCTCATTGTATGTTCTTGCCTCCTTTGTTATAGATTAATGTCCATATAAGTTTGGGAATACTTTTTCCATCCTCTCACTTTTAGCCTATGTGTGTCTTTAGATCTAAAATGAATCTCTTGTAGGCAGCATATATATAGATCTTGTTTTTGTGTGCATTCAGCCCCTCACTGTCTCTTGACTGGAGCATTTAGTCCATTTACATTTAAAGTAATTATTGATATATATGTACTTACTGCCATTTTGTAAATCATTTTGGGGTTGTTTTGTGGTTCTTTTTTGTCTCTTCTTTTGCCCTTTCCTTGTTTGATGACTATCTTTAGTGTTTTAATGTTACGTTTAGACTCCTTTTCTCGCTTTTGTATGTGTATCTATTATAGATTTTTAGTTTGTAGTTACCATGTGGTGTGTGCATATATATATATATATTTTTTTATATATAATTACATGGTTTTATATATATATATATAATTGTTCATTTCTTAAGTTTGAATGTAATTTAAACATACTTCATATAAATGTGAATATAATAAATAAATAAAAAACAAACAAATAAATAAATAAATAAATATTTACATATAAATTCCTCCCCCCTGGTTTATTGTTTGTGACGTCATATTTTACATGCCTTTGTTTTGTACTTCTCTTTAACTTATTTTAAATATAGATGACTTTACTAGTTTTGTCTTTTAACTTTTCTACTAGCTTTATAAGTGATTAATCTGCTTACCTTTACTGTATATTTGCCTTTACTAATGAGATTTTTTTCCTTTCATAGTTTCATATTTCTAATTGTAACCTTTTCTTTTCCACTTAGAGAAGTCCCTTTAACATTTCTTGTTAAGCTGGTTTCCTGATATTGAGCTCTTTTAGCTTTTGCTTCTCTGTAGAACTTTTGGTCTCTCTTTAAAATCTGAATGAAACCCTTGCCGGGTAGGGTATTCTTGGTCATAGGCTTTTACTTCTTCATCACTTTAAATATATCATATTACTCCCTTCTATTCTGTAGAGTTTCTGCTGAAAAGCCAACTGATAGCCTTATGGCTGTTCCTTTATATGTAACTCATTGCTTTCACCTTTCTTCTTTCAATATTCTCTCTGTATTTTTAATTTTTGTCATTTTAATTATAATGTTCTTGGTGTGGTCCTTTTTGGGTTGATCCTGTTTGGGGGCTCTTTGTGCTTCTGGATCTTGATGTCTGTTTCCTTTCCCAAATTAGGGAAGTTTTCAGCTATTATGTCTTCAGATATGTTCTCTGCCCCTTTCTCTCTCTCTTCTCCTTCTGGGACCTCTATAATGTGAATGTTTCTAAACTTGATATTTTCCCAGCAATCTCTTAAACTGTCCTTATTTGTTTTTATTCTTTTTTCTCTTCAGCTTCAGTGATTTCCACTACTCTGTCTTCCAGTTCACTGACCCATTCTTCTGTATTTCTAATCTACCATTGGTTTCTTCTAGTGTATTTTTTATTTTAGCTGTTGTATTCTTCAGCTCTATTTGGTTCTTTACATTTTCTAACTCTGTTAAAAACTTGTAAATTCTCACTCTGTTCATCCATTTTTCTCCCAGGTTCTTTGAGCAGCTTTATGATCATTACCATAAACTCTTTATCAGGTAGATTGCTTATCTCCACTTCACTTAGTTCTTCTTTTGGGGTTTTATCTTGTTTCTTTGCTTGAAACATGTTTCTTTGTCATCTCAGTTTGCCTAATTCACTGCTTTTATTTCTTTGTATTTAGTAGGTTGGTTATATTTCCTGATCTTGGAGAAGAAGCTTTATGTAGGAAATGTCCTATGGGGCCCAGCAGCATACTTCCCTCTGGTCATCAAATCTATATATTCTAGGGATGCCCTCTATGTGGGCTGCATGAGTCCTTCTTTTGTGACTGGCTAACAACTGTGGGTGGTGCCAGACTACTAGCAGGTGGAATGTGTCTTTACACAGCTTGCTGTGGGGATGCAGTGGTCATGGGGCTTAGATTGGGCTATTGGTGGGCCGTGTTGGGACCCAGGGGAACCTGGGGCTATTGCTGGCCCACTGATGGTTGGAGCTTGGTTCTGGGGTCTTTGGCTATGGGGCCAGGAGGTTCTGAAGCTGGTGTCAGCCCACTCTGGGCAGTGCTGGGGCCCAGGGTGTCCCACGGCTGGTGCCAGCCCACTTTTGAACAGAGCTGGGTCCCAGAGTTAGTAGCTGCAGGGCTCTAGGGATCCCAGCAGTGGTGTCTGCCTCAGGTGGGTTGGGCTGGAGCCTAGTGGATCCCAGGGTTGGTGCCTGACCACTGATGTGTGAGGACAGGACTAGGGCTAGTGCTGGCATGCTGGTAGGTGGAGCTGGGTCAGTTAGCTAGTTGTGTGTGTGTAGGCGGTGTTTCCGGGGTCTCAGGGCTAGCAGTGGTCCCCTCGTGGGTGGAGTCAGGTCCTCGGTCCTGTGGTGGGTAGGCTGTGTTCTTAGGTGGCTGAGAGTTCAGTGGGTTCTACAGCAGCTGACCTTCTGGTGGGTGGATCTGTATTCCTACCCACTTAGCCGCCTGGCCTGGGGCATCTCAGGGTTGGTACCATCTGGTGGGTAGGGCTGGTCTGGCACTGATTGGCTAGAGGAAGGATTCTGAAATGGCACTTAGCAGCACCAGTGTCCTTGTGATGGTGGGATGAGCTCCCCAGAGTGTCTGCTGCTAGCATCTTTGTCCCCAGGGTGAGTTTCAATTGCCTCTACATCTCTGGGAGGCTCTCCCAGCAAGTGAGTTCTACTCAAGCTCCATTCAAATAACTGTTTCTGCCCTGGGTATAAGAACATAGGAGATTTTATGTGCCCTCTCTTAAGAATAGAGTCTGTTATTTCCCACAGTCCTCTGGCTCTCCCAGACTGAGCCCTGCTGGCTTTCAAAGCCAAACATTCTGGGGGTTTTGTGCAGGACTCTGGGCTGAGGAGTCTGATGTGAAGATAAGACCCTTCCCTTCTTGGGGAAAACCTCTGCAATTATAATTATCCTCTCATTTGTGGGTTGCCTACCCCGAAAGTATGGGTGATGACTGTACTGCATCTTCACCCTTGCATGTCTTGTTGTGGTTTCTTTTTTTATATCTTTTGCTGTAGAAGATCTTTTGCATTAATCTTCAGGTCACTCTCATGGATAGTTGCTCTGTAAATAGTTGTAATTTTGCTGTGCCTATTGGAAGAGCTGAGCTCAGGGTCTTCCTACTCTGCCTTTTTGTTCACTCCTTGCATCATAAAGACTTCGAATGGATTGACAGCTTGGCAAATTGGCTAACACAAAGAAATAAACTTTGGCTCATGTATTCAGAGTCTAAATGAAAAACAGGAAGATAAGTAAAAAGAACCAGGAACATGCTTCTCCTTTTCATTTGGCCCTTAGAGATTGAACACATTTAATATTAGTAGTATATACATCAGGCATTGTGACAGAGGCTTGGTTGTCATTGAGCCTTTAGGGCTTAGTGGAACTGCTAGGGACTGTAAATGGTCACATCAAGACTTGGTGCTTCACAGAAAGAACACTTGAAGATACAGTGAGTATGTTAACTTAGTGGTTATGATATTACTGCTGGGAGAATTGGTCATTTAGGGAGAGACCTGTCCATAATTTGAAAAGTCTTGAAGCAGACCTCATGTTGAGGGTTTCTGCTGAACTCTGTCTTTTTAAGAAAGGAGTCCTAGTCAGTATGCTGCAGTATGAATTAGGATGCTGGGTACGGTGAATGAAGTAAAAGAGGACTGAATTCTTAAACTTCACATTTAGACAAAAGTTCAGACGTTTTAGGAGGTGAATGTGAGACATGATCTTTAGGGAAGACATTGATGATGAAAACAGAGAGAGCTGTCTTTTAGGTGCTTTTGTGCTTGACTCCATTGTCCATCTTTTCTTACGAAACTTGCTTTAAGTTCAGACTCCTTTTCACAGCAGCTCTAAATTTGCTGTAGACATTACAGAAATGAGTGGATAAACTTTATTTAGATACCTTGATAGCTAAGCCAGTGACTATGACCTGTCTAAATGTGGTAGTAATATCAAGATAAAATGGGGAATATCAAAATGCTGTTTTCCTTTTGGAAGCTAAGATCATGACAAATTGGTTTGGAAATAATGTTGAAAAGCCTATGATTAAATGACAAGAGCATGAGAAGAGATTTTTTTTCCCCCAAAACAGATGAGTGTATTGTGGTAAAAATGAAGGGAAGAAGTTGCTTTTGATTAAATTGATTAATAGAGGACTTGGAGGTGTTATTTCCTGTAGAAAAAAGATCTTTACCCTAAACTGTAATTTTTCTAACTTCTGTTGCATGTGTTGCTGCATTTCCTTTTTCCATGTGCTCTTATTTTCATGGAAAAAATATTTTAAACACCATCGCTGGGATAATTATTGCCATTTATTAGTTTTGATATTTCCTTTTTAATGATATTTTCATTTATTCCTTTTGCTAGCTGGATTGCCTTTTGCAATTCTTACTTCAAGGCATACCCCCTTCCAACGAGGATTATTCTGTAATGATGAGTCCATCAAGTACCCTTACAAAGAAGACACCATACCTTATCCGTTATTAGGTGGAATAATCATTCCATTCAGTATTATCGTTGTAAGTTAAATCCACTTTTCCAAGTTTATCACTTTTGGGCAATTGGCTTAATTTTGTGTTAATCTGTGTTAATGATTGAATGTGTAACCCTGTAAAACAATGTTTTTTTTGTAACCTTTAATGTTATTTGTTCAAAATAAACTCAGCTATTTTAAGTGGGGACAGAAGAGTAACAGTGTATAATGAGAATAATCTTACTGAATCTGTGTAGGTTTTATGCTGATCTTTTTCAAGTCACTGTGATTTTTTTAGAGCTCTAACTTGTTATTGTTTCAGTAATAATCCAATAGGTGACTTTTATGTCAATATATTTCTAGCATACTTTATACCTAGGATATTATTTTATGACTTACTGAAACTGTGTATATGAACCTACTTTCTAGCTACTGATTCTAGAAAAGAAAAATTGCTGACTAATGTTAAGATTTCATTAAACCCATGTTTAAAATTTAAAGAATTTTTAGATAATGGCCGAAATAGGAGGGAAAAGCCAAAGTTCTATGTATAATTAGCAGTGAACATAAAAGAATTTTTACTGGTACTTAAAACACAATAGTAGTTGCTGTTTTCTAGGATTTCAGGTGGGAATGCTTAGAAAATATGCTCTGGGGAGAAAACTTTAAGTGATTGGACCAGATGATTTTTATAATCTCTCAACTCAGAGATTCTATGACTTAGTTTTATCCTCCATAACTTTTATCTTTAGAAATAAGATGTATGTTAAAAGCAGAAAATTTGGTCTTATCCAGGAGATAGGCTAAAAAGGTAATAGCATATATATATGCATGCTTTATATATATATGCATGCTATCTTCTCTGTTTTGGAGTGTATGAAAAAAAACTTCTTAATTTAGAAATTTAACATCTTCTTGCAGAATGATCTCAGCTCCTTTTTAGCACTGAAAGTTAAACTCATAATTTGTGGTGTAAAATTAATAAGAGGAAACTTCTGCTGCACAAATGTTTGTTTCACAAAACTGTGAGCTCCTTGAAGGCAGAGATGGTGCCTTGTTCATCTTGGTATCCTCATTGCTTGCCCTGGAGCTTGGCATTTCCTAAGTGCTGGGACGAAACTGGAGTGATTATGCAGTAATGCTGGTGACTCTCCTACAGTACAGTGAAGTTTTAAGAAATTGGTGGTCCCTTTAATCTAGACAAGTCTTTACACTGAGTTTTTACTATTAAAAGAAAGAAAGCCATATTTATGATCTTTCTATTAAAGAGGGAGTATGAGTAGGGCCTTTTATATGTGTCTGAGACTTTACTAGCTATTTACAACAATTTTAGTAGGACTCTCTATGCAAGTAATAGCTGCTGTCAGACAAGATTCAAGTACTCAAACACTGCTACCAATGTACTTGTCAATTCTACTTTTCTCTGTGTCTCAGTAAGAAGGATGCTGCACAAGCAAAACTACAGAAATCTTCTATAGACCAGAGGCCTGCAACAGGACAAGGTGCTGGCTCTGGGCACTGTGTGGTTGTATGTAGCCTGTACAGCAAGCGCAGGACCTGAGAGGCACTCAGCAAAAACTTATTAGTTATACTTTATTAACTTGGAAGTTTTGACTATTTCACCATCACCTGTGAGAAAGTTGTCTTTATAAAACATCAATTAAGTTGAGTATAGTTTTCTTTAAAAAGAACAGACTGTTTAAAGGTACTATAAAAGTACTGTTTTCATATCAGCTGTATCAACAAACACTGCCTAAGGCAGTGGTTTTATCTATTAATTTAAAACAATTTCAGTTTATTCATTAACTCAGCTTCTTTCAGGAAGCACTTGGTTAGACTAGTTTATGTTTCATTTGATTTTCTAGAAAGTAAATCATTTTTTAAAAAAGAAATCATGACCGTGATTGAGACTTCATGCCAGGTCTTTGACATGATGTGCAAATGATTCACAAACATGAGTGACTGAGAAAGCCTGATAGAGAATCAGAATTAATAGAGTTTCCCAGAAGCCAAGGGAGAATTTCAGTAAGGATAAAATGGTCAGTGATATCAAATACTTCTGAGAAATTAAGATTTGGGTTGATGAAAATGTGTTTGATTGATAAGTCATTATGACTTTTTTGGAGAGAGATTCAGTGGAATAAAGGGAATGGAGGTATTTAGAGCTGTTTAGGAAGGAGTGAAAGTATACCAGTGATTATATATTCGTTTGGGAAGGTGGGCCTTGAGTGGAAGACACATAGCTATACGGACAGTGTAGAGCTGTATGAAATTATCTTGGTTGGTATATATATCTTGGAGATATAAAGGAGATGGTGAGAAAATACTGTGGTACATAGGTTTTCAAGGGTTGGATCACACTGATTTAGATAATTATTAGCTTCGATCTTCAAAAGTATTCTGTTTTACTCCCCCAAACATTATCTTTAGTTCTTTAATAATTTATCCTGTCTTTAGAATCTGAGTAAATAATACATGACAAGTCATCCCAGCTCTAAGAATAGGGTACAGTTAGCTTAAGTGTGGACTTCACTAAAGACTGAGTTGGCATAAATGGCTCAAAGGGCAGGATAACGTATTAAAATGAAACAAAACTATGGCTATTGTGTAGGTGAAATGCAGACACATCCTTACATTTAAATTAGAAGAATTGATTTAGAACATCTCTATTGTCTATTTCTCTCAATAAAGATGGAGTACATAATAAAAAATGATGTAAGTTAACCTAGCACTTGTCAGCTTTAGAGTCCCCCACTCTTCCCTGGTGTTGTAGGTTAAGTTTCAGCTATATTGCTTCTGTAAATCAGCTTTTAATCTGTGCCCAATGCTCTAAAAGGTCCTAGTGACCTGATGTTCAGTCATCAGTGGCAAGAACCAGGGTTTGGTTGGCCCTAAACAATGATTATTATGAGCAGGAAGACTTGCAGACATCAATACCTGTTTTGGGAAAATAGTTGAGTGCTTATGCAAGAAATGCTGGCAGCTAAGTTGTGGAAGTTTCAACTGTTCAAATTGTGATAGATTAATATACTTCATATATATTAAAATTATCAAAGTTCAACTCTATCACAAAATGTTAGAGAAATCTTTTCTTGCTGCTAATCAATCAAGGCAGTTGCTGTAACACCTTAACAGTCTGCGGAGACTTACTTTAATGCAGAACCTCTAGGCAGTCGTGGGGGAGAACCTTTAGCACAGTTGCGGAAGTGTTATATCCCCAGAAGTGCATTTAGTTTTATTCTCCTGTGAGACCTGTTCTCAGAAAAGGTCTCATTAAGTCATTCATGTTAATGATTATACAAGGAAAATGTTTCTGTGGGGCTTAATGTGTTTAAGGGTGTTTACTTTTAACCCAAGAGGTAGCACCTTCAGTTGAAATTTATTGACCACCAGCTCTGTTTTGGGTCACTGTGGTAGTACTAGCTTTCTATTCAACGACTAAAAATTTATTCTTGCTTTTGTTGAGTTCATACCCTAGTTGTCAGAGTTACAGCATTCTAATTACGGAATTCTAGGAGCCATTGAGCCAAATGAGGAAAGGATTTTTGGTATCAGATTCTTGAAACCCCTTTCAGGAGGCAGCCATTTATTTCACTTATGGAAGGGTTCACTCTGAAGCCAGATAACCCTCACAACTTTGTAAAATTGTTTATGTAAATTTAAGATGAAGCAGTAAACCTAGTATGTATCTTAAGTGAAACTTTGTGATTTTATATCCACCCAACATAAATTAGCAAGCAGAATGTTTTTATTTTGGTCTCAGGTAGCTAGAGTGTGGCTTATTTTATCAGCAAATGTGATTTTTTTTTTTATCATGTTGCCATTCAGTACTTTTTCAGATTTCTCAAGGTATTGGTCTGTGAATTTGGAAAGTATTTGGAAACCATAAAAAGGTTAAACTCATACTGGTGCATGCTTACACACATACCCACTCTACTAGAATCTGTGAAGGCTGTAACCCTCATTTTACAAAAATCAGTGAAAAATAGAGGAAGGAGTCACTTGAGATTTTTTTTGGATAAAGAGAGCATCAAGTGTGTGTTTGGTCTTTTAATGAGACTTGTTAAGTCAGCTGGCCCTAAAGGCCTCCTGGAGAGGCAGGACTGGGAGGCCTTGTCAAGTTAATCTCTGCCCTCTCTACCCTTTGGCCTCAGTGTTGGATCCCTGCTTTTATATTAGCTTTTTCCTCTCCCTGAAACTATTTTATCCTTTTTAATATGATGGATGTTTTTGATTCAAAGGAATGTTTGATGAAACTGCAGCCTCTGTCAGTTAAAAGTTCTTACAAAAGGGATGTTCTCCTTGGGGAAGTTTATGTTCTTTGAACAAACCATGGTTTTTGTTTCCATGATACATCATTGTGTACTTATTAAGACTCCATTTATTTGAATACCAGCAAAGGAATAAGGTCTTACTGTTTCAAGGTAGACTTTGAAATTATTTTGGCTTAACCATTACTCTGTAAACAGTATTCACAATTGATCTGACACTTTTTTTTGTGGTCTAGAATTAGACATCTGAAGTTGCTCTCCATTTGTAGAGGGAAAAAAAGGGGGGAGGTGTTTTTCAAACAAAGATTTAATTGTGATTTACAATTTTATTTTCTATTTTTTTCTTTGTTTAAAGTGCCTGGTTACTTCTTTAACATACTATTTTTCTGTTTCTTTTTCAGATGATTGTTGGAGAAACCCTGTCTGTTTACTTTAACCTCTTGCACTCGAATTCCTTTATCAGGAATAACTACATAGCCACTATTTACAAAGCCATTGGAACATTTTTATTTGGTGCAGCTGCTAGTCAGTCTCTGACTGACATTGCCAAGTATTCCATAGGCAGACTGCGGCCTCACTTCTTGGATGTTTGTGACCCAGACTGGTCAAAAATCAACTGCAGTGATGGTTACATTGAAAACTACATATGTCGAGGGAATGCACAAAAAGTGAAGGAGGGCAGGTGCGTGTTACATTTTTAATGCTTGTTTTATCTTGTGTATTTTTGAAATAGAAGGTTTCAATGATTGAGAAAATGAGCCATCCACAGGCATAGAGAGAGAAGCTAGTGTAATCACCGAGAGGTGAATTGAAATCATGTTTGATCTATTTTCTCTGCTTACTCTTTTCTATTTTATCCCTGTCCTCTATTTAAGAGCATTTTAATGCACTTTATAAATCATGTAGTCCAGGGTAAGCAAACTTTTTCTTAAAGTTCTAGATGGTAAATATATTTTAGGGTTTGTGGGCCATATGTTGACTACTGTCCAACTTTACCTTTGTAGCAGGAAAGAACAGCCATAGACAGTCCTTTAGCAAATGAGTGTTAACTGTGTTCCAGTAAAACTTTTATTATTACATAAACAATGGCTGCCCATATGGGTTATCATTTACTTCTGATCTAGTCCACCTATGTATGAAGCTTTCTTTATCTCTTAGTATTCATAGAGTATATTTTTTGTAGGGTAACTTTCTTCATATTTTGATAGCTATAGCTCCTCAGGTTGCCTTCTTATAACACACTTGTTGGGCTTCTTTCTACATTTGGGGGCACTATTAGACATGAATGAAAAGAGAATGTTTGGAACCCAAAAGGTCTGATTCCTGTAATTTGTAGATGAGCAGACAGAAGCCCAGTTACATTAAATAAAGTCGCTAATTAGTAGCAGAGTCAATTGCTCATCCCATGTCTTGAAATTGTCAGTCCTACTTTTTTTTATATGTTTGGCTTTTTTATATTTTAGAATAGCTAATATCATTTTCCTTTATTTATTCATCCAGCAAATACTTTGTCTTAGTAAAACATCCTTTGATTGTTTTTTTATATATGATTCCCAGACACTTTATTGTCATTGTGGTCACACAGGCCTACTAGTAGTCCCCAATATTTGCATTTAAGAGGATCCATTGTGCTATGTGCTTGGAATTCAGCAGTGAACAAGACAGCTCTGGTTTCTGTTTTTATGGAGCTTAGTCTAGCAGGGAAGACTTACATTAAACAAATGTTGACAATGGAAGAGAACCTCCCTGTTGATAAACAAGGCCAAAGAATAGAGAGACTATTGAATGGCAAGCTTTGAGGTGATGATATGAGGACTACTATGGATATAAAGTCTTAACGATTAAAGAGGGGAAAGTTACTTAAATGGTAAGTGGTTGAGAAGTAGATAGTAGAAGTCGATACTGTTGATTTGAGCTTAGGTAAGCAAGCATTTTTATAAGAGGGAAAGAATGGTCCAGAAATGACTTTGAGGAGTGATGAAGATATCGAGATCAACACTGGTCTCTTAAGGTGTGAGATGTGGATATCTCATTCTCTGCTTTGATGGTGATACAGGACCGAGCAGAATCCTAGGGAAATGCTCTTTAATTTAATGACTAGGAGATGTAGCAAACCTTCGGTGAAGAGTTTGAAGACATGAAGAAATATAGAGGAATTTAACAATAGAATTGGAGTTCCAGACTGTGCAGTGGAGGGGTTGGATAAACTCCAAGGATAAACTCCCCACTTAGTCATGGTGTTTTATAATTTTTATATTAAGTGGATTCAATTTGCTAATATTTTATTAAGGATTTTTACTTTTGTGTTCATGAGTGTTACTTGTTTGTAGTTTTCTTATGAAGTTTTTGCTCAGACTTGGTATCAAATGTTTGGTATTAAATGTTTTGTAGAATTCTCCAGTAAATCTATGTAGAATGGGAGTTTCCTTTGTGGGAATGTTTAAAGCTATAGCTTCATTTTTAAGAATAGATGTAGGATTATTCAGGTTATCTGTTTCCTATATGAGTGTTAATCATTTGTCTCTGAAGGAATTTGTCCATTTTATCTAAACTATCAAATTTATTGGCATCAAGTTGTTCGCAGTGTCTCCCTACTATCCTTTTACTGTTTGTAGGAGCTGTAGAGCTAGCCCTCTTACATTCCTGCCATTGATAATGTGTATCATACCTCTTTTTCTCTTGAGTGGTCTCACTAGAAGTTTATCGATTTTGTTGATCTTTTTATTAGTTTCATTGGTTCCTTTTGGGTTCACTGACTTTGTTGTTCTGTATTCAATTTCATTTATTTCTGCTGTTTTGATTTACTTTCTTCTGCTTGCTTTCAGTTTTGTTTGCTCTTATTTTTTCATAAGGCATAAACTTAATAAGCTATGTCACAAGTTTTGATATGTTGTATCTTCATTTTCATTTAACTGAAAATATTTTCTAATTTCCCTTGTGTTTTCCTTTGATCTATGAGTTATTTATTTTTCTGTCATTGATTTTTGGTTTAATTACATTGTGATCAGAGAACATACTTTGTATGATTAGAATGCCTTTAAATTTATTGAGGTTTGTTTCATGGCCCAGTATATGGTCTGTCCGTGAGAATAATACCATGTACATTTGAAGAGAATGTGTATTCTTCTGTTTTGGGGTTGAGTGTGCTGTACATATAAATTTGGTCAAATCGATTAATAGTGTTATTCAAATCTTCTGTATCTGTATGCATTTTCTACAGAGGTTTTTTGTCAGTTATTCTTTAGGAGTTTGAAATCTCTAACTGTAATTGTTGAATTGTTTTTATTCTTTGATTTCTGTCAGCTTTTATTTCATTTTGTGATTCTGCTGTTCAGTGTGTAACATTTTTAACTGCTATTTTTTCTTACTGTACCCTTTTAAGTATGAGATGTCTCTATTTCTAGAATTACTTTTTGCTATAAGTCTATTTTGTTTGATAGTAATATATATCCACTCCAGTCCTATTATGTTTATTGTTTGAATAGTATATAATTTCCATAAGTAAAACTTTTAGCTTATTGGAATCTTTGAATTTAAAGTGTGTTTGTTGGATATTTAATGTATGTAATTCAGATCTTGTTTATACTTTTTAATCTAGTCTGAAAAAATCTCTGCTTATTGATTACAGTGTTTAATTAATTTACATTTAATGTAACTATCCATCTAAATTTAGGTCTGCCATTTTGCTGTGTGTTCTCTGTCTCATCTGGCTCTTTTTTAAAATCGTGATATAATTTGACATATTATAACATATTATAACATTATATTAGTTTCAGGTGTAATTTCTTTTTTCATCTCTCTTAATTTCTATTCTTCCTATGCTGTTTTCTTTTGTATCACATAAATATTTTTTAGTGTAAAATTTTAAGTATTCTGTTGACATTTAACCCTGATTTTTTGTGGGTTTTTTTGTGTTTCTTAGGGATTACATCTATTTATCATAATTTACTTCAAGTTAATTCTGACTCTCTTACAGCAAAATTAGCCCTTTGTACATAGCATAGCTCTGTGCCTCCAACCTCCCCACACACTTTGGGTTATTATTATCATATGTATTACATCCATATACATTTTAAACTCAACAAAGTTTTGTTGTTATTTTTGCTTTAAACAGTTATGTTTAAAGTAATTAATAGAAGAAATTAAATGAAAGTCTCCTCAATTTAATGATTAGGAGATACAGTGAATCATAGTGAAGAGTTTGAAGATACAAGAAAAATATAGGTTTCTTTATTGAACTAGAATTCTGGAGTATACAGTTGGGATTTAAGTTACCATCTGGTGTAATTTCTCCCATCCTGAAGAAATTTCCTTAGTATTTTTGTGGCTCAGGTTTGCTAGCAGCAAATTGTTAGCTTTTGTTTATCTGGAAATATCTTTATTTTGCTTTCATTTTTCAAGAATAGTTTTGCTGGGTATAAAATACTTTGTTGTGGTTTTTTTCTTTCCATAGGTTGACTATGTCATTGCACAGTTTTTTGGTTTCTGTTGTTTCTGATGAGAGATGATCTATTAGTTGTATTCTTGTTCTCCTTTATGTGATTTTCTCTCATACTGCTTTTGTCAATTTTACTGTGACATGTCTAGGTATGGTTCTGTCTTTATATTTAGACTGTCTGGAGTTTGTTCAGCTTCTTTATGGTTTTTAACATTCTAGTCTTAGTTTAGCACTTGTACATCAGGCAGTGTGCCTGTGTCTCTAAGAATCTCTCTCCTGTATCACCAAACAGAAAACATACAGGAAAACTCTTAATAATTTTCTCTCAGCCAAGGAATTTAAGAAGGCCACTGTGGTGATAGGAGTTTACCTAAACTCCAGAAAGTGTCTTTGTAAATGATTCTTAAAGGACACAAATTCTTCACACATGTATTGTTTCTCTGGTTCAGGTACATAAATCTTAGCTCAAAATTTTCTTGTGACATATCTTATTGAGAAATTTTTCTTTCCTGCTCAAGCCACTTGGACAAAATTTGAAATAATATAATTTATTTAAAATGGTATAAAAAGAATTACATTTTATAGTCTACATGTGTCATACTCCCTAACTCTTCCTAGTATATCCAAATTGGCCATTATGTACCATTACTCTGATTGTACTTTTGACTTAAGTACACTTGGGTTTTTTACCCATCATTTAACTTTTCTACACCAACCCATATGCAGTTGTCCACTTAACATCCTGTGTAAGGGTCAGGAAAACAATCTCTTTGAAAACAGTATAAATATTTGGATAACTCAAATTGCAGAAACTGTATATTACAAATAATTATTATCTATAGTTTTCAGTGGAAAACATCTCTTGGTAAGTTTTGGGGTTCTGAAACAAGGATAAAGGAAAATCAAATATAGAAATGAAACTTTAAGAAAACTGTATCTTACAAGAAAAACATAATTCCCATCAGAGTTTCTAGAATGAATTAGTTGTTAGTTTCAGAGCTGTATAACATTGATACATAACTGTGGTTTTGTGTTGCTATTCTATAGTTTGGTTGGATACAGGCTTTCCTGTTCCTTTTCTTTTAGATTTTAAAGGTCAGGATGCCAAAAATGCAAAAACATTTCAGTCTAGACATTGTCCATAAGTTTATTAGGATTATAGTGCAATCTGCTCTTTTCATTTGTTTATCTCCACAGCCTGCCCTCTGTACATTTTTAATTGTAAAATTATAATGTTTGACATT